GTCTCTCAGAAGGCAAGGTGCAAGTCCTGGTGTCGGCCCCAAAGGCTCCTGGGTTGTTGTCTTCCCTACATCTTCGCTCCATCCTTCCTTATCTCCCCTACTTCCTCCTTTATCCCTGCACTCCCCCCCCCGGCAAACGTACCGTGGAAGTCCTCAGTCTCCTCTTCCAATTTCCTCAAATTTGCCCCCGTATTGGTGTGCGCGCTCTTGTTCTCTCCGGCCGCGTCTGAGCAGGTCGGGTCGGGAACCGAAAAGAAGGGAAGACAAGGATGAGCAACGTCGATGTCCCAAGGATGATTGCGGGGAGGGAGAGAGGAGGGGGCAGGGGCCATCGCCACCGGAAGTGTCTCCCACAGGACAACAATTATCTGAGGCCCAACGTGCTCCTTCCATCCTACTTCCTCTCATGGTCGCCGCGGCAGGCTCAAAAATAAAGCATACACGGCGTCGTACGAGTAACTCCTCCTGCTGTCCTTTCCTCCTTCCTCCTGCCCCTTCTAAACCCGTCGAGGCTCAAAACCAGCCTCTCCACCTCCCAAGTCCGAGCACGCTCCCACGTACATTTTTTGGCCGAAGACGCGGCGCCTCCTCCCGTGTATGTCGATGCCGAGGACGCAGTGGACCGGGTCTGCCACGGTTGGGTGACACCCGCAGGCCTCGCCCCTCCCGTCGCAGGTTTCTTTTTGGGTTTGGCAGTAACCGTTGTCCATCCCCCGTCTGCCATACCTCTTGCGGCTCAACACGGGTACCTGTGGCACATGAAACAGGGTTGTCAAGCGGGCAAAGGGGTGCGAGCAACACGTGGTGATCAACGGGGCAAAAAGCCTTTGTAAGTCTTTCCGAGCGGCATGTGTAGTGGCTTATGTAGAAGTTGAGACCATCCGTTGTTCTTGGCTGTCTCTATAACAACATATATGCCTCCCATTGATACTCAATCATCCAACCTTGACCGTACCCGCAGGACGAGTCCGTCCCGCACGTTCCCGTGTCCCTCGTCCTTCCCCCCCCCCCCCCGCCTCTCCGTTTGGTTGCATTATTCTGAGACGATAGCCCTTCCTTTCGATCGCGTCGGGGGCGTCGGCGATCTCATGCGTCAGGTTATTCCCCACCTTCGAGCCGGCGGTTCCTGTAAAAATTTATGCCCCAAGTGCCACGTACACCCGCACAGGACGAGCGAAAATAGTTTCCTGGTAACATGACATTGGGTGCCGTGGTCGCACGGCGTGGATCGGTGGGGTGGCGATTGACACGTCGCACCATCCTCCCCCTCACCTCCCCTCCATTTCAGCACGGGGGGAGACAAGTAGTGAGGCGGCCGCTCACACTTTTAAATCCAGAAACACCACAAGAATTAGCGTCAATACCACCGCAGCACCAGGAAGAAGGCATCGGGAAGGCTACATCCCCGCGACAGAGGAAACGCAGGTCGAGAAATCTCGCGAGGGGCTTCTCGCCGCTTGCTCCCCCGAAGGGAGAGATGCAATCTCCCCTCGGTGAGTCCCACGCCCGTCGGCACGAGTTACACCGCCCACAGCGGCCACAAAAGCAAGGAAAGGCAGGGCAGGAAGGAGAGAAGGCGCCCGGACAAGCTGTTCGACCCTGGCATCCGCCAGGTGTACTGACGAGCTCGGAGGGGGAGGAGGGAATGGCTGGCTTGCTCCTGGTCGACACGGTGTTCGACAAATATGTGCCCCTTTTTGACATCCCAAGGTAGGTTTGGACCAGGAATTTTCGTCTTTTGCGGACCTTTCTTTTCGAATAACTTCCTTCCCGTCCTCCCCTCCTTAGTCTCCTCCGTCTCGTCCAGCAAGCCTCCCTCCCCTTGAATCTGGACATTTTCAAGCGGACGATCGCCGCCTGCGTCCGAAACAAAGATGCGGTCAAGGCGCTGGGGCTTGTGGTGGAGATGCGGGAGCGGGGCATCATTCCTGATTTGGAGGTGTACGAGACGATAACGGGGGGATTCACCCAACAGGGGGAGCCGGACGTGGTGCTGGCCGTGCTGCGATGGCTGGAGGGAGGGAGGGAGGGGGGTAGGAAGGGAGGGAGGGAGAAAGGAAGGGAGGGAGGTGGTGTGGTCCCCTCCGTGCAGATGTACAATCACTTGATTCAAGCTTACGTGACGGCGGGGAGGAGGGAGGAGGCGGAGCGAGTGTTCCAGGCAATGAAGGCAGGAGGGCGGGAAGGAGGGCGGGAAGGAGGGGCGGGGGGGAGGGCGGGGGGGAGGGCGGGGAAGGGAGGGCGGGAGGACGAGGTCGAGGGACAAGGCCAGTTAGGAAGCACTGGCGAGAAAAGGAGAAGTCCGCGTCCTCCTCC